ACCGGAACGGTCAATTCCCTTGTCGCTTTGATCGCGCGTTCAGAGGGAGCGAGGACCGAACTCAAAGGAAGCGAGGTCGCGTAGTTCGCGCGGGTGCCGGTCACGATGGATTCACATGGGTGGAGATCGAGACTGCTTTTCGGAGACGGGTATTCACCAATGCAGTAATCAATTCCCGTTACATCGAGCCTAGACACTTTCTCGAGGACGTCGGAGACACGATGATGGAGAAGGCACGCGAGAATTTGGAGAGACACACCTGTGTGAAAGTCAACACGGTGTTCAATGAGAGATTCGTTGTGTTCGAAAAGACCGCTGTAAAGAGCATCGTCACCAAAAACCGACAGCTGTTTCTCACCACAGATCTGTCCGAATGGTATGACAAGGTGATCGAGACGACTCTGACGAAATTGGAGGAGTTTCAGGAGCGCGACAGCGGGTGGGCGCTGTCACGCATAATGAATTTAATGATTAACGTTAACTTGTGCAATCCTATGCGCGTGGGATGTTGGATCGATATGCCGCCACTGATAAAAACGAAGAGAGCGGTCGTGAACGTACAATCAACGGATAACGCATGTTTCGCGTGGGCGGTGGTTGCGGCTTTGTATCCTGTCGCGAAGAATTCCTCGAGATGCACTCAGTATCCCGATTATCAAACGGTGTTGAAGTTCGATGGAATAGAATTTCCTATGACCTTTATTAAGATTTAGTCTTTCCTGAAAGTGATCGAGAGAATGTCCGTACAGCAACAAGGAGGAGAACGATACAATGTTAATCACGCGATGTATGATGAGGCAAAAACACTTTATTAAGTGGCTCGATGAGATCACCACTACAGGTACACGAAAAAGGATGCAGGCGGATACAACGTGTTCACGCCGTGCGCTCTTGAACAGTACAGGATCAGTAGTGCGCGCGCAGAGACAAAAGAAAAGGTTACGCGCTTGGCAACACGCGAGTACAGAACGACATTAGGGCGCACTCATAATAACGCATATCAGACTAAACGAAAACTAAAAATAAACACGCAGAATTTCAATCTTAACACTCCCACTATTCAAGTGTTTCATTTTGTGTACCTTTTAACATGTTGTGATTGCACTTATTCCGATCATTTTTAACAATATTTTAAGTCTTTCTCCACATAGGGCTTTAGTTAAGAAGTCAGCACATTGCTCATTCGTACTAACATATTTTACAGTCAAGTCGCCAGAGATAAATCTCTCTCTTATGTAGTGATATCGAATGTCGACGTGTTTAGTCCTCTTATGAAACTCCGGGTTCTTTATTAGCTTAATCGCACTTTGATTGTCCACAAGTAAGACTGATAGTTGGTCACATCGACAATCGATATCCCCTAACAATCGACGCAGCCAAACTAACTCTCTGCTAGCCATACTAGCCGCAACATATTCCGCTTCGGTTGTGCTTAAGGAAACCATGCTTTGACGCTGCGATGTCCATGACACGGCTCCTCCTGAGATCACGAAAATATAGCCAGTGGTAGATCGCCTGGTTGCGGTATCTCCCGCGTAATCTGCATCTGAGTAACCTGTCAAGGTTATGTTATCATTACGACCCTGGTATCTGATTCCAAGATCCATCGTTCCGCACAAATAGCGAAAGACCCTCTTTACAGCACGCCAATGTTCGTCTGATGGACATGATAAAAACCTACTTAAGAAATTAACAATGTATGCTAAATCTGGGCGTGTTAACTGCACAAGGAACATTAACGACCCTATCGCTTCACGATATGGAAAATTAACAGTGTCGTTGTATCACTTAATGATGCAATAGAATGTGGATCCGCGGGCGTACACACTGATCTCGCATCAATCATGCCAAATCGAGTGAGGATGCGCTCGATGTAGCGATGTTGGTGGATAAAAATTATTCTCTTCTCTCGGTCACGTTTAATTTGCATGCCGGCGAATGAACTCGGGCTTCCTTCAGTAATTTCAAAAGAGTTTCTAAGCGCATCGAGCACTTCATCGAGCGCCTCCTTCGACTCGGCAAGCAATAGTCCGTCATCCACATATAAAGCTTCCGGTACGTCCATATAAATCTCCTCGTGGAGATCACCGTGCAGGAACGCAGTCTTTACGTCAAATTGTTCCACTTCGAGATCACGTTCCGCTGCCATGGCCAGAAGGGTTCGTATTGATTCGTATCGAACCACCGGTGAGAAGACCTCCTCGTAGTCGATACCAGGTTTCTGCGTGAACCCCTTTGCACACAGTCGAGCCTTGTAGCGCCAATTATCTTCGGGTGATGTCCCTTTTATCTTGAACACCCATTTGCAGCCTATGGTCGACTTGTTTTTGGGTAAAGACGTTAACTTCCAGGTACCATTTTTGTCGTGTGCGCTGAGCTCATCGTCGATCGCTCTAGTCCATTTCTCAGCATCTTCTCCTGAGGTTGCTTCTTTAAAAGTCATCGGTTCTTTCACTTCCATCAGATTAGCCTCGTATCTTTCAGTCTTCTTGATTTTGCTTCTGTCTCTTAAATGACGGTTTTGCATTACATCTTCTTGATGAATCTCTTCTTCCGGATTCTCGTCATCGATGATTCCTTCCGACTCTCCTACTGGTGGTAAATTCTCAATCGCTCGTCGGTCCTTCTGTGATGGATTGTTCTCAAAAGGAAGTGATATTTCGTCATTTGTCAGCGAAATCTCCATGTCTCGAGATTCATTGAAGCTGACATCCCTGGACACAGTTATCTTACCAGTATGTGGATTATATAGCCGTTTGATGATTCATGATCATAACCAACAAATATTAACTTTACGGATTTTCTATCCCATTTAGTTCTCTGTTCCTTGGGAACATGCGCAAAAACTTCAGAGCCAAATATCTTAGCATGTCCCAGGTCTGGTTTCTTACCCATCCAGACTTCGTATGGTGTAGTGCCTTTTGTACGAGTTGTTGGCGTTCGATTCAACACGTATGCGGCCGTGTTCATAGCTTCCGCCCATAACCGAGTAGGAAGATTCTTCGCATGCAGCATGGATCTGGCAGACTCAACAACAGTCCTGTTGTCCCTCTCCGACCGTCCATTTTGCTCTAGCGTGTAAGGCGCTGTTGTCTCCAGTTGGATTCCGTGCTTGGCGAGATAACGTTGCATGTTGCTATTAATATATTCCCTGCCGTTATCTGTCCTGAGAACTTTAATCGATCGACCAAATTTGTTTTGTACCATAGCATGGAACTCCTGAAACTTGTCAAAAACATCAGATTTATGTTTCATGAAATATAAGTGTCTGAAACCTGAGATGTCATCTATGAAGTTGACATAAAATCTGGATCCTCCGATCGATTGTGTTGACATCGGTCCGCCCACGTCAGAATGGATGAGTTCACCTGGTTGCATGTCTCTTGGTGGTATTCTCTTCTTAAACGGGAGTCTGTGCTGTTTGCCATAGTGGCAAGCTTCGCATAAGAAGTCGACGTCGTCAGGTATTTTGCCCAACTGCAACAGTCCTTGCTTGTTCATTTCACGTAGAGTTTTGCAGCTCACGTGGCCAAGTCGCTCGTGCCAAAGTTGCAGATCAGTAACGACCGCTGCACAATTCTCACTTCTCATAACAGTTCGAATCGACATCAGGAATAGATTATTGTCCTTTCTTATCCCAGTAGCCTTGAGAACGTTGTCTAGACGTATTTCAACACCGTCACCTTCGAAGACAACTTTGTACCCCTTTTTTAAACATGCTCCCACTGAAATCAGATTCTTATTGAGCGAGGGCACATATAGAACATCTTCAAGCTTGCCATTGTACCAAGTTCCATTGACACTTAGTTTGATGTATACCGTTCCGCGACCTTTGATTTCACTTGGAGCTCCGTCACCGAGAGATACATATTCGTTGCAAGTTTCAACGAAATCTTGAAAACAATCTCTATTGAAGGACATGTGCTTGGATGCCCCGCTATCCGAATACCAGTTCTCGTTTGGATTAGACACATTTGCACACGAATCGCCCATGACCATAAACGCGCTGACGTTTGCTGACTGTTCATCCTTTTGGGTTTTCTGTGGTTGTTTCTGTTTCAGATCTCGTTCCTTCTTTCGGCAATTTTTGGCTATATGCCCCTTCTTGTGGCAATAAAAGCACTCCATTGATTGCCGATTATGTTGAGTGGACGTGTATGGAGCGTTTGATGCAGTGCACGACTTACTCTTGTTCGCTACTGTCAGTGCACTAGCTGACTCGTCGGTTGCAGACATCCTATTCTCTTCTTTAATGAGTTGCGTCGTTAACCCTTGCAGTGTTTGCTTACCTGCGTCCACACTGTCCCACGCTGTGACTAGCGCATTAAATTTAGATGGCAGGCTGCCCAAAATCTTTGCCATGAGAGTGAACTCGGAAACCGTCTCTCCTAAATCTTTTAGTTGTCGCGCCATGTTTTCAACCTTCGCAATATGCTGCGTAACAGAGTCACCTGTGGCCATCCTGTATTCGTGAAATCTAGTCATTAAAAGTAATTTGTTAGACTCACTTTGTTGCTCGTGGATTGAACGTAATTTTTGCCACATCTCTGCCGACGATTCACATGTGATTAAATAATCCAGCTGCGAGGTATCCATTGAGGAGGAAAGTATAAACATAGCTTTACCGTCACGCTGAATCCATGCCTTCTTCTGTGTTGCATCTTCCGGTTTTGTCTCGGATCCATCCACGATGCCCAGAATGTCGTTCGCCACGAGGATCGCCCTCATTTGGAATTTCCATGCTTGGAAGTTCGTGCCATCGAATCTGGCCACATTCTTGAGATCGATGGATGCACTCATCTTGACTGTCCTTTTCAAGAGTCCTTACAACGGAATGAGTAAATAATTTCACACCGCGTGCTTACTTTTGTCGCTTATACCGTGTGGCCTGGCGAGACCTGGGCCATAACCTATTAAGATTTAGTCTTTCCCGAAAGTGATCGAGAGAATGTCCGTACAGCAACAAGGAGAACGATACAATGTTAATCACGCGATGTATAATGAGACAAACACACTTTATTAAGTGGCTCGATGAGATCACCACTACAGGTACACGAAAAAGGATGCAGGCGGATACAACGTGTTCACGCCGTGCGCTCTTGAACAGTACAGGATCAGTAGTGCGCGCGCAGAGACAAAAGAAAAGGTTACGCGCTTGGCAACACGCGAGTACAGAACGACATTAGGGCGCACTCATAATAACGCATATCAGACTAAACGTAAACTAAAAATAAACACGCAGAATTTCAATCTTAACAACCTTGAAACAAATTAGAAAATTCGAACGTTTGAACGATATATCTGTCAACGTGTTTACCACGAGGGAGGAAAAAAAGGATGGAACGATCGTTCCTCTGCATCTCACAGACCGCAAAAGAGATATTCACATAAATTTGCTCTATCTATCGGATTCGCGATACGGCTCCCAGGAGGGTCATTTCGCATGGATAAAGAATCTATCGCGATTGGTCGGGAGTCAGGTAACCAGACAAACAAACAAGAAGTATATTTGTGATCGGTAAGTATTAAGAGGGAGAGAGAAATGTGAATTGAATAATAATAATAATTCCAGATGTCTGCATTACTTCCACTCGAGGGAAAGATTGTCCACACACATCATGGATTGCGAAAGGATGAATGATTGCGCGATCGTTCTTCCGAACGAGGACGACAGGTGGCTCAGCTTTCGGAACTATGAGCGAAAAGAGAGACTTCCGTATGTGGTATACGCCGATCTGGAGTGCGTCTTAGAGAAGGAGCGAGAGGAGAGTGAATTTGTATCGCGAAACAGATTTGCCTATCAACATCATACAGCATTCAGCGTTGGCTATTACGTGCGATGTGTGCGAGACGAGGATGCGACGACGTACAAATCGTATCGCGATGAGGATTGCGTGTCGTGGTTCGTGCGGGAGTTGAACGCTCTCGCGCATCGCGCAAAGGAGACTCTCAGCTCCGTCGTGACTATGACGTCGCTTATGTCAGATGAGACGCGTAGCTTTTGGAACGCGACTCTTTGTCACATATGCGGAAAGCCATTTGACCCGAGGGATCAGCGCGTGCGCGATCACTGTCACATAACCGGACGTTACAGGGGTCCGGCTCATGCGCGTTGCAATATAAACTACAACAATTCCTTCATAATTCCTGTGTTTTTTCACAATCTCTCGGGTTACGATGCGTATTTTATCATCGAAGAGATCGCCAACGGTTTCGTGGGTAGAGTGGAATTGTTACCGTTGACCAAAGAAAGATACATCTCGTTCACGAAAGTCGTTTTGGGACACGTCGCTGGGAAAGGGGCGCGATTGCGTGAAGCTGCGATTTGTAGACTCGTGTAAGTTTTTAAGCACCAGCCTCGCGAAATTGGTGTCGTATCTGGACAAGAACGAACTGCGAATAACACGGTCAGCGTTCTTGAACCTCGACGACGACGATTTCGAATTGCTCACGCGTAAGGATGTGTTCCCGTACGAGTATGTCGATAGCGTCGAGCGGTTGGTCGAGACAGAGTTACCGCCCCGCGAGGCTATTTACAGTTCGTTGACCGGCGAGAGCATCGACGATAACGATTACGAGCACGCGGTCACTGTGTGGCAACGTTTCCGCATCAGTAATCTCGGCGAGTACAGCGATCTATATTTGAAAACGGACGTTCTATTGTTGGCGGATGTTTTTGAGAATTTTCGCGACAACTGCATGCGGAGTTACGATTTGGATCCTGCTCATTATTACACGTTACCGGGTTACACGTGGGATGCGATGCTAAATTAAAAGAATGGGGTCTACAGAAGTGGACATCAACATTTTTGAGTACAGGGTCTGAGCCAGAAGTAGTAGGACTGATTTTCTGTAGCGCGAACGGAGCGATGGAGGGGGAAACGGCCGGTTGAGCGCGGTGGAGGGGAGTGTCAGGAGCAGCCTCATATTTTTTTCAGTGGCTTGCGGGCTGTTGAGGCAGGATGTGTGTTTTTGTGGACCCCACGACAAACGGAGCACGCACGTGATCGGCGCCTGATCACGCTTCGGCGCCCATCGTTTTCGCTGACACCCGATTCGGCGATCGGAGCATGCGATTTTTCCGCGACCAATCCAATTCGTCTCCTTTTTCAAGACTGCGGGATCTCTCGTCCGCAAGTCAGTCCCGAACAGTGTCGACCAGGTGCGGCCTCTGAGTCACTCATCTACGGGGATACGCCTGCTTCGCTTCCGCGCTAGCCTGCTCCCCGTGGGGCCCGAGTCGTCCGCGGATATCTCGCTGCTCCGGTTCGCCGAGTCTAAGGGCGCGGACAGCGGAGTCATACCCGTCGGACCCCCTTCCGCCTCGCGGCTGGCGGTTTGCCGTACTCGCCGCGTTTTGCCGATTGCTCCAGCTGCGAGCTCTTGTGTTGGGCGTCGCGGGACTCTCGTGCAAGAGAGCCCTTTCGCCGTCTAGAGTCTGCGTGCGTTATTGCGTGTGTTTTAGAAATAAGTTGTGTGAGTCCTGCGCGTCGATGCGCCCGGGTTGACGCCCGGAGTTCCGTTCGCGGCTTCGAGTCTGCTGAATTGTGTTTCGCCCGCGGCGGTCCGCGTGCGCGAAAAGCCATCTGCTCCGCGGGAAGATTTCCGCTTCACGCGCGCAAGATTCTCCATTCCGGTGGGGCGTTTGGCCAATCGCCCATCAAGATTTCCGCCGCGCCGTTAGTGAGCAGATCATTTGGTTGTCGAAGATTTCCGTCCGTTCTCCCTTTGACCGCTGCCGGGTCGAATCAACCGCGAATCGCTGACGCGGCCGTTTTCAGTTGGCCTCATGTGACTCGACCGTGATCCGTAAATATATTTTCTCTTTGTTCGGATTGACTCGCTTCGTTCTTGCTTTTCCCTCCCGACATTTCGAGACTTCGCTTCCTAACGCTCTCCTAACGAACACCTTTCGTTCTCTCCGTGCTCAGCGCTGGGCAGTTCCGGCGTTCAAATTTCTCGCGAAGTCTGCGTCGCGGACTTCACGCCGAGTTCGCGAACATTGCAAATATGATTTTGACACATGGGCTGATGAAACTAATTTAATTGAAACCGAAGGCACATCTGTAAATTTAAGCAAAAACACAACAGAACATATACCAGAAATAGAACTATTATAGAATCTTCAGAAACATTGGAACAAAGTGATGTACAAGATGTTGCATCAAATGAAACAAAGAATTCTATTGAGACTGTGTACTCTTTAGTAAGTTTTTAAATATTAACTTTTTTAAATTAATTTTTAAAGCTTCCAAATTTAGAAGAATACGATTTTTTTTAACTAATACTTGTAGATTTTTAATCGCATAAAGAAAAACTGTTTTAAATAAAATTATATACAGGGTGTCTGATGCAAAAGTAGCCAAGTTGAAAATAGTGGTAGATTGGGTTAAACTAAGGAGAAATATCATGTGCCGCGGTACAAAAGTAACAATAGTTATCGAGTAATTAATTTACACGTCTGAGCGCATGAGGATGCAGAATACGGTAGGCCGGACTCGGAAGGCATTTAAGAAAATCGATCGATGAGCGGGAGGTGGAGCGACGCGCGAGATACTATGTTTATGTTTCGGGTCGCCCGTCGCTCGCGATTCGCGTTCGAGAGCGGGAAGGTCCTCTCTCCTACTGGTTCGCGGGTGTCGTTGATTTTTACTCGCGTGTGAGTGCGTGGCTTATTTGCGCTCCTAGTGCGATCCTGTAATTTTACTTTTACCAAGTGCAGTGCCCCCGTTCCTCAGTGTTTTGAGGACTTCTTGTAATATGCAAGAGGCCTCGGCCTCTTGCAAAAAAACCGTTGAGGGCTCGGGTGAGACTGATAACAGCCCCCCTGTCCTCCCCTTGACAACAGCTGGCTCAGACTCGTATTCAACCAGCAATGACGCCCCTGCTGTAACTGCGACTTCCTCGCTGCCTTTAAAGTCGAATTCTCCCTCCGCTCAAGGTTCGAGCGGCGACGGATCATCGCCGGTTGCTGAGAAACATGTCAAGGTTTCTTCTCTACTGAGCACTATTGCGCGTCTTTCCGCGCGCCTTCAGGAGGATCAGCCTAAGAGACGCCCAGGAATTAAGCGTGGCAGCTCTAGCGTCACTCACAAAAACACGAGCCGCGCTTCCCGCCCGGCCATGGCAAGTCTGCAAAAGGTTTTGGCTAGGGGGCCGGTGAATCCGTCAGAAGGCGATTTTGACCTTTTAATGGCCCAATGCGTTAAGAGCGGTAAAAACCAGGAAGGAATCCCCCTCCCCCCTTCTATTTCCACAAAAGATTATCCGCTAGCAACAGCTAACAATGTTGCATCATCCCCCCACCTTCCGCGCGAGGATGAGGCAATGGACGCCATGGATGTGGCCATGGATATAGAGCCTCCCAATCGTATTGCCATTCAGTCCAAGGAGGTCAAGGACAAATCTGTCGTCGGTAAGTCCGCTTCTAGCTCTCCCATTGCAACCAATGTTAATAAACCTTTGGATAAGTATTCTGTCAAGGATTCGTCTCCTTATATAGTGCACATTAAGGATAACAATAGCACCCCGTTGTATCCTTTGCTTATTAGTAGATCTGTAACCTCAATTTTCCCAAAGGGCGTGGGGGAGGTTAAGAGATTGGGAAGGGGGCATGTATCTATTGAGGTTTATGCTTTAAACGATGCGAATCGGCTTATCGGCAATCGAATCCTGGCAGCTAAAGGTTTGCAGGCGTACGCCCCGGCTTACCGCCTGTCGAGAACGGGCACTATTAGAGGTATTTCGCAGGACCTGGACAACGAGGAGATCATGAAAAACATAGACTCAAGCTGTAAGGTTAGAGAGGTCAACCGCTTAAACCGAAGGGTCAAGTCGAACGAGGGTTTCGCTTACGAGCCCTCATTGACCATCGCCATTAAATTTCATGGGCAATCCCTGCCCAAACATGTTTTCTTATACAATATAAAATATAACGTCCTTTCATTTGTGCCTAAAACCAAGATCGGTAATACTGAAGGAGAGCGGCAACCGCACCGATCTGACTGTAACTTAGCAATATTGTGTATTTCGATGCGTAAAACACAACTGTAAAAGTAAAAATCGTCGCTCTGCCCTGCGAAGCGAGATATTAATTGTTAAAGTTGACAACTTTTAGGGTTAGGAAATCTGTCATAGCGACGAAATCAGACAAAATGCACATCATATGCAGTGACGTATTTCCACGTGAAGCGAGATCCACTCCACACTTCAGACATGGTTTGGGTAGGGTTATATCTTAACGAAGAGGAGCCCCCCCGAAGGGGGGGCGGAACATACTGTCTCCACGCATGTACTTCCGCCGTTGTATTGTTCCACATGGGTTTGCAACTTTCCACGTGAAGCGAGATCCACTCCACACCTCCGACATAGGGTGGGTAGGATTATTTTTAACGAAGTGGAGCCCCCCCGAAGGGGGGGCGAAACATACTGTCTTCACACATACATTTTTCTACCCTCATATAAGTCACTCCTCTCCACCAAATGTAGATGGAAAAATGTATGCGTGAAGACAGTATGTTCCGCCCCCCCCCTTCGGGTGGGCTCCACTTCGTTGAAAATAACCCTACCCACCCTATGTCAGAGGTGTGGAGTGGATCTCGCTTCACGTGGAAATACGTCACTGCATATGATGTGCATTTAGTCTGATTTCGTCGGTATGACAGATTTCCTAACCCTAAAAGTTGTCAACTTTAACAATTAATATCTCGCTTCGCAGGGCAGAGCGACGATTTTGTCTAAGGAAAAAGTTGTTTCTCGTTGAAAAACGCGTCGAATAAGATTTTTTAAATTGATTTTTGAGGTAGTGTAGCTATACTGAAGAATTACCAAGTTGTCAACTTTAACAATTAATATCTCGCTTCGCAGGGCAGAGCGACGATTTTTACTTTTACAGTTGTGTTTTACGCATCGAAATACACAATATTGCTAAGTTACAGTCAGATCGGTGAGGTTGCCGCTCTCCTTCAGTATTACCCCAAGATCTGCTATTCCTGCTTCCGCGTGGGTCATATAAGCATTCACTGCAAGAGTAGGGGCAGATGTATCTACTGTGGCGAGACAAACACCTAGAAAAAGATTTTGTGTGTCCGGCCAGCAACTCAACTCCTTGCTGTCTTAATTGTAAGGGGGATCACCTCCCCACTTCGGCTCTTTGCCCAGTGATGATCGAGTACAAGAAGACTCACTCACTGGCTGCGGCTAACAATATTTCATTCGTGGAAGCCAGAAGGATGATTTCTTCAGCTACCTCGCCCTCTAAGGCACCAGCAGACCCAAGGTACGACTTCTGTAATTTCCCTACCCTCGAACATAAATCATCAGCTTACGGTTATCCAGAAACCCCTATAGCCAATCCAATCAGGTTTAACCGCAGCAGTTCATATGCGGCTATGGCTGCGATGCCCCGTGTAAACCCACATGATGTAACTTCCCTCTCTAATTCTGCTCCCCCTTCTGTCCTCAAAACTCAT